CACTTATATAATTTGAAAACCTACTTACTATAGAGCTTGAAACCATACTCCTCCTACACACATGCATTCCTAGTCGAATTAACCTTCAAGTCAATGAATATTTAATTTTTACATTATTTTCAGCATCTCATCTCTCCACAGTAAGTGTTTACTGGATAACAACATAGCTGATATGGTGCTAAATTCTTTGAGGCACGGGAGATGAAGTAAAAAGGGCTACAGACCAACTAACTGTTCCTGAATACAGAAAGCCCAAGTCCAAAGATAAAAAGACTTTTGTCAGGTGTTGAAATGTAGACAGAAGGTAAGGACAGAGAAACTCAGAAAAGATATAAAACATTCTTTCCTACCTTGACAGCAGCCCTAAAAGTGGGCTATTAAGGAAATTAAAGCACTGGAGGCCACTATGATACATTATAAACAGATCAATAGCCCAAAATGCCACAGATATTTTTTTGCCAACATTTTCAATAGCTAAACACTGACCTTTATCAAGAGGTACAGAGCTGTGAGAAATAATCTGATTCATTTTGTCTAATGCTATAAACCTAAGAGCAACAAAAACAAAAGTCAAGCCAAGAAATATTACTTAGGTTTTGAATAAGCTCAAGACTTTCTTTAAAAACAGACAAACAAAACAGAATCAAACCCAACCCAAATCAAACCAAACAAAAGAAAACAATGAACCTAGAAAAAAAATCTGTATTAAAATTCCTGCTCCAGCAATCTCAAAGCATTTTACAGAAATCTATCGGTCAGATAAAAAATTCAGTTGTACAGTGAACCCGCTTCCTCACATCTAGGTTCAAATTTTGACAAGAGCATATTCTAGTCCTTAGATTCAGTTCATGTTCCTATGAACTTCTATGAAGTTCAAATTATTTATTTGTGTCAGGCAGAGGAGTAGTTTGAGTCTGTGTTTTTTCTCTGCTGACTGCCCTACTCATCACTTGATTACACAGCTTTGGGGCTCTCCCCTCTTCCTCCAAGGCCTCCAAATGGAGTTGGTCCCAGAATTTTGAAAAATAAGATTTTTTCCATTATCAAATTAGTATTTTCAAAATGATACACCTGCAGCTGTAAGTTATAGCCTTGAATATCATAAGCAAACTCCTAGATTAAATATAAACTGGTGTTTCCACTAATTTGATGCAAAAATGTTTAAGGGAGAATAAAACCACCAATAACTATAACAGGGAGCAAGAGGATGTTCCTGCATTGCCAGGATTAGTTGTGTCATGTTAATTCCCCTATTGAAAGTATTCATTGTGTTTCTTTAAAAGATTATGAACTGCAGTATGCAAATAAAAAGAACAAAAGGAGTACCTCTGTTTCCATCTGATACCAAGAGTTGACTTCAAAACTCATGAATCCCTAAGAAAAGCAAGTCTTACAAATAACTGGTGTGTTTAAAGAATTTCTAATACGATTCAGAAAAGAGATTTTATTTAGGCATATTCCAGCTAGGGTTTGTGTTTATTTTTATGTCTGCTTAGGGAGAAGAGTTATTTATACTTTTCTTTTGAATCTATTATTTATGTATTAGCTCTCTGTGACATGAATACCATCTCAGGGAAGGGATGATCCTGGGTCTAAAAAAGATACGCAAAGCTAAATATCCATGTGTGAAGAAAGCTGATTGTTGGGATTTATAGTCATAGTATCTATCTTTCCTTACTAAAAGTTTTTGGTGAGGCTGTAATTCCATGTTATTGCACAGGATAGCAGGAGAAACCCTTTAAAGTACAGAAATCAACCTAGAGCAACTGTGAAAAACAGCAGCAATTACACCAAAATTGGTGGTTGGATATAGCCAGATTATTCTTCTGTGCCTTCACATGTAACCCATGACTGAAATTCAGATCAGTTATTTCTAGGTTTACAGAAACAAAGCAGAGGGTATGTGTTTTTGAAAAAAGACTACAGTTTGCTTTCTGTTGAATTCTTGTATTCTCTCCAGAGATGTACACTGCCTACCCATGAGGCTATGGTATACATTGGAAAGGATATTCCCTGGCATTACAGCTTACATAAAAGGAAAATGTTCTTGCCTTCCATTCTCCTTTTAGCTATCCAGGGCAGCCACATTTTGTATGGTATCAAGCAAGAATACTGAAAGCAAGATAAAAGCAATGGCTTCTGACTTTCAAGAGAAAATTATTCCAGTCAGGAAAACCAGCTCCCAGCACCACTCTAAAAGATTGTAGTAAGAAAGTGAGACTCAACATGCTCTTAAGACACAGTATGTTCCTTCCAGTGGGAAAATGAAAAGCTATCATTTTACATTGAATTCCCTAAATAAACTTGCTGATGGTATTTTTTCAGGGTTGATTTTTTTGGTTTTTTGGGGGTTTTTTAAGTGGGATTTCAGTTCTACATGCTAAAGGAGATGGCTGCTGATTAAAGTTGTTTGATAATACACCAGCAGATTGACGGCCTCCTACTGCCTGCTTAAACTGCTCCCTCACTTTCTCAAATGCATGTCTTCATTATTTTGACTTCATCTGTAGCTTTGTGTAATAAAAAACAAAGTCATTTGTCTGGTATGTATTTATATCACTCTGATACCAGTCCTCTGTTTTCATAAATGGATTTTCAGTGTGTCATTTCCATGTATGTTACCCTATTGCACATTCCCAAGTTACCCCAAAATAATTATGATGACATGCTCATCCTAATATAGAGCTGAAACTGCATTCCTAACGTGGAGTTGCTTTTCAATATATTTTCTGTGGAACAACTTTCTTTGAAAACAGTATTACAGCAAAGTGTTTGGTTGGTACTTCATTAATGCTATGTACAATGCCTGTTCACAAGAAGAATTCATGTCAGAATAATTAACAATACGTGTCGCGACTCATTAGAATCAGCACATGAAACTATTGCTGTTGGCAACACAAGTGACATACACAAGTTAGCTCGTGGCAAAGACATGTCACTTCTTCTAGTCACAGGAGGGAGGGACATGATATCTCTTCTGATCAAAAAGTACTTCCTCCATTTAAATTTAGTACTCATGTTGATTAAATGGTTTTCCACTTTAATCTATTTTAATCAGATAAAAAGACTTTGTACCATGTACATGAGGCAGTACCTATAACTCATGGGAAACTGCTTAACAGAATGCAGAATACAGGAAGAAATTCTGCTTGAAAACCAGAAAGCTTTGTAATAAACTACATAATGAAATAGTATCATACATTTATCATAAATAATAAAAGCAGCATGAACATGTGATACTGTTTTATTAAATGGTCAGAGTATTACTGAAGGCAGAGAAAAACTACCCTTTTCTTCAGGAGGAAAAGTAAGATAGAAATGAAAAGGTAAATGTAGCTTCCTACAAAAATGTCACAATATTATGTGCTAGAAAGCATGATTATACCTTTTCTAAGTATGGTTTCTGTACATGCACTGTTCTTTGGATTGTATGAACAATCAGTTCACATCTAACTGGCTATTTAGTCTCACATGCCTGTACTGTTGCAGTAGAGATTTTTGCACACATAGCTCTGTTGCACAAATATTAGCCTGTGTTCCTTGCTGTAAAGGACTGAGGTCATGTCTACAACAGAAAGTTCTTCTGGCAGAACTGTGAGCTGATTACAACTTGTACACATTGCGCTGGAAGGAGAGACGCATACTTACTGAACTGCCTTTGCTAGTGCCAAATACCCTCCATTTAAAGGTCCATTTTGGAAAAAAAGATGAGGTATGCACACTTTCTATTGACCCTAACCACTCTGTCGAGCCCAGGTCCTCAGGGACATCCTGAAGCATGTTCTGAGATGTCAAAAAGGAGTTCAGGTTCAAATTCTCGTAATTCCATTTTTTTCTAGCTCACTGTGTTTTTCCCATTCTTTAACATTCACATTTCTGTTGCAGATTTCCGTGATACTTTTTCAGGTTTCTGTTCAGTAGCTCAACTAGAAATAGGGCCCCAGAGGCACAAATTGCACAGCAGAGCCTGTTCACCTACAAAACATACAGGCCCTACACTCAAGGTAGCCAGTGAAGCTGTGCTGGACAGAAGGTGGAGTAGCTGATGATGGCAGTGCATGAAAAGGGCAAGATGTCCTAGACATCTGATGCTCAGCATGGCACAAGAGAGAAGCAGGAAGCTAGTGTTAAAGAATGTGCCATGTTATACTGCACTACAAACTTGGGAAAATCACCAGTGATCCCATATTTCATGAAGGTTGAAATGTCCTCTGGCACAGAGACACTGGTGACAGCAGATGGAGGTTGCTCATTTTGCAGCCCTCAGCCCAGATGTTGATTCACTTGGGGCAAGAAAGGCCAGGAAGTGTACAGTGAATATAATCCTCCCACAGCACTTCTACGGCTCAATCTGCTCCTGCATAGCACACTATCCTCACAGCCATATGGAGGCACAGCCTCCCTCTTCTTTCATATCCAAACTTTGGCTCTGTCTGTCCAAGACAGTTACCAAAGGCTGAGACTGGGGTGGATAAGCCCAGCATAGGAACAGATTGTCAGTCAGGTATGCCAGGACTGTGGCAACAGGAACAACAGGGAGACCTGAAATAATTTTGGAAGAGGCAAAAAAGTGTGTTGCATAACCCAGCCAAGCTCACCACACTGTGCCTCTGAGCACATAGGGACAGAAGAACAGCTATGCTGGCTCAGACAAAAGGTCTAACTAGCCTCATACTTTTCTGACAGTGCTGAGCAACAGATGCTGAGAGAAGAGTAAAAAAGGAGAGCAGGCAAGTGCAGGCACTTCTCCAGCCTCAAGACTTCCTAAGTCAGAGGCTTTCACATTGTATTTCATTGTCTTTCCAGTAATTTGTGCTATTGTTTTTCAAAACCCTGTAAAATTTTAGTATCCACAACAAGCTGTGGTAAGGAGTTGTACATATTTTTTGGAAGTTTCCAAGGAACTAAATAAGGAACACAATGAGCTTGCTTTGAAGAGTTAAATAATTCAATCCGATGCTCTTTGTATTTTATACTGAAGGAAACAGCAACAAATTGAGAATCACAGAATTGTTTAGGTTGTAAAAGACCTCTAAGATCATCAAGGCCAAACATTAAACCAGTACCACCATATTCACTTGTCCCAAAGTGCCCAATCCACAGGCCTTTTGAACACTTCCAGATGATGATTCCACCACTTCCTTGCGCAGTTGTTTCCGTAATTGTCTTGGCTTTGGATTTTTCATAACTCTCAAATGCCTGTTATGAACAGAGTGGAGCAGACAGTAAGAGCCTGTAAATATGTATAAATAGGAATGTCATACTCATTAACTTGTTTATGATTTGAAAGGGAAGTTAAATTGTGATAATGTGTGAGCAGCAATACCCTTCAGCACTCATAGACTTGAATATTAACACTTCAGTTTAACACTAATATGTGTGTGAAGTGTTTTCCGACACAGCCTCTATTTTGTCCTACAGGCCACTGTATGTTTCCTTATAGTTGTCTTATTCATGAAAGGCCTGTTACACACTTCCTAGACCTCCTACAGCTTTCACCATTCCTCTAATACTTACCTTGTACTTTCTGCTTTTTTTTCCAGCCATGCATTAACCCTTTGTCTTTTTTCTTGGACTCAAGCACTCTCAGACCTCATTTCATGCACCCACTTCCTACTAATTAAACTTGAGAATGTAGATGTAAGATACCCTGCTTCTTCTGATTTTCTAATCAAAGTTCTATTAGTAGGAGACTGACTCTGAAAAAGGCAAATATGCACATTGAATAAAATATCAAGGGAGAAAAAAAATTATCTTGGTGAAAATTTGAAAAGGGTTATATTTACTTTGGAGCTGCTCCACAATTTGAGACATCACAAACATGAAGGCACTCATGAGAGCCTCTGAAGAGGTGTTTATGAGAAGAGAAAGAGCTGCCAGAGTGGCACCAAACTACTGAAAGTAGGTGAAGATGAGCACTGGCTGCTGACTGTTGATGGCTTGCTCATGATGTGAATGTGGATTCTAGCCATGGATTCTATGCACCAGCCCGCATTTCTTTGATTTGAAGTCTCCTGGTTATCTGAAGAGTCCCTTTTCCTCTCCTGAATAAATTCATCATTACTGGGTGCTGCCAGTGTCCTTCTTTTCAGTCTGAAATGGTGTCTTCTCTCACTTTTGCCAGTGGCAATCCAAACAAGGTTGGAACTTTTTTGGTAGCCAGACCAGTTATGTTTTGGAGAGAAGCACTAAATTATCCTTTGTTTTTCTTCATTTAACGTGAAACTGTTGTTTCTTATCCTTGTTGAATGAAGAATTTTGTCATTTGCAGGGGCAGTTTTGCTATGGAGACAGAAAGCTGGTTTAATCAGCAAGAACTTTGACAGAAACTTTACAGTGCATGCTAAGCTAGAGAAACTGTTATAAAAATTATTGAAAAAAATCAAAGTCCAAAAGTAACAGCAGAAATAAGAATTGTTTACTGTGCTGCAGATCATGACCGGTCCTCTAATGCTGTGCTTTGTATTGGAAAGACATTTTGTATTATGAAGACATAACACAAAATAATTCAAGTGTTTTATTTTTGAGAAAACTAGAAATAATAGAAAAACAATCACATCACACTGGTTTCCCATACTTTAAAAACCATGCAGTAAATACTCTAAACAGTTGGGAAATCAACATTTTATTGGTTGATAATTTGCTTTATTTCTTAAAACACTGTTTCATTCTTTTGGATTAGTTGACAGGGCAAACATCCATTAAATGTAATTATTACTCGACCCTGATTAATCTGCAAGTATCTTCTCTGTCTCCACCAAGCATGTTAATGTCTACCACAACTTCACTGAAGCAGATGTTAAATTGAGCCTTTTATTATCTCAAAACAATATTATTTTCAACTTTCCTTCTATTGCTCCTCCATTCAGTTTTCTGGTCTACTCTACCACCATCCTCCCTCTTCGTAAAGCAACTGTCCTCTGCTTGACCTTCTGCTTCTATTTTGCTTCCTGCTTGCTGGTGCAGTGATTCACCCCCCTGTCTAATCTCGGATTTACAACTGTGTTGATAGCCCACAGTCAAGGAGATGAGGCAGTGAAAAGGACTGCCAGGGGAAATTAAATAAACTTGGAATTTATCCATCTTTAAAAAGTGGTGCAAAGTCCCTTAATCTCTATCACCCCAAAGAGTTTTTATGGCAATAGTTCCTCCTTCTATGTGCCCTCCCACCTCTCTTTAAAAGAAATAAATACAAGCAAAATAATGAAATCAATAAACTTACCAGGATACCCCCTGACATCAAGCAGAAATGGACACTCCAAGAAGTAAGAGAAACTCATTAAACCCATTAAGGACTTCTGCAGTTAAGAAGTGGTATTACACAGGAGGTGCCCCCACAATGGGTTATTATGAGATACAAAGAAAGGAGAGGGAGATGCATATACATGAGATTTTAAAACAGACCCAAGGCAATTGGCAGACAGGAGAAAAATTATCAAAACTTTCTGTAAATATGCCTGCTACAGGTATTAGTGCAAATCAGTCATATTCCTTTGAATTTAATGACATTATTGACAACAGCTTAGTCTGAACCCATCTGCCCCTTTTGCTGTAATTGGATGGCTAAGAAAATAAGGGCTTGTTTACTGATAAAATTAAACAAGAGCCATATTTTCTAGAAAAAGTTCTATGGGACAATGCATATTTCATTTCCCTGTGAGCCCTGTGTCCAATCTTTGTTCAGCCAGCAAGTGGCATCTCAGTCTCTGCTTCTGCCAGTGCTTGATGTTGTCATGAGATTTTACCACAGGAAAAAGAAAGGCAAATTAGCATCCTTAGTGAAATTTCTGGTATGCACATATATACAAGCCCCTTTGACAAAATGCTGTACAATCTGTTCTTGGAACATCTCTAGGCTTTGCTATTAAGGCTTTGATTTTAAAAGTACCGGCACAGAATTCTCTTTCCTACCACACACTTATGCCTTATTTTTCCCTTCTTGTAAAGCTGTGGCAAGAAGGTACAGCATCCAACTAAACTTTGTTTTGCTCCTCCTCCAAAAATTTATACTTGAAACTTTATTAAGAAGAGTGACTTAGTTTTACTTGATAAGCTTTCTAATTCTGACTGACTGGGGTGACTTAATGATCCTTGGCACCTGTTTGCGTCTCCTGTTATGCTTCAGTGCACTTCAGTGATACAAGTACACATTAAAACTCAGTTATTCAGAGTTCCTGCGTCTTCTCTGAACACAAAATACTACCTGTGTTTATGCTCTCCCTCATCCCACAGAGAGATAAAGAGGCTTAATCTTCTCCTGAGCTCTGCATGATCTTCTTTTATCTTCTTAGCTGTGTTCCATATAATGAAAGTGACATCACAGGGTGGCTTTTTGCCTCTTCCCAAATTACTTTCAAATTAATTAATGTCCTAAGTTTAGAATGTTTAGAAGGATTTTAATTTTTACTTGAAAATTTTGGATTGCATACACACTTTTTTTATCTTTTTCTTGGGATGTGTATTTTTAGATCAGTGACCTTTTGGATGTATGATTCATGCTGATTCAATTTTTTCCAGCTGGTTCATTTTTACTTAAGTTGATACAGATGTTCTGAAACAGATACTTTTGTAATTAAACCAGTCATTACACACCTGTTCTCCAAATTTTTTATTGAAAATAAATCAATTTCCTTCTCCTCTATTCTCTACTTTTTTTCCCCCAAAACGTCCTTAGAAACCTTTCAGGACAAAAACCCAATATAAAAAACCCCCAAGCAGCTCTACACTAATGCCACCTGTCACAGATCAGGGTCCATTCCAAATCAGTTAATGCTATTTAATTTATCATGCAACTTTTAAGACTCAAGCACATAGTCTATTTATTAATGCAAATAATTGAGTAGATTTAATATTTTGTGCATACATCGGACCACAATGAGCTCTGCCAAAAATGATTTTGTTTCCTTAGATTGTATTCTAAACACACAGCTCTTAGATACACTCCCAAAAATATTAACAAGCATACCCATCAGTAGCTGAGCATTCAAAAAGTAAATATCATAGCATTTTATTTGTCCATTGAGGTGCAGATCTGAGCTTTCATTAGGTTTCTTTCATATGTAGAGTGTAGGAGCAAAGAGCATTTCCATGCTTTTACTAGTGACCATGTATCCTTTCTGCACTCTTATTTTGTCATGAGAAAAAAGTCTATCTCCAGCCCTCATCCCCTCCCTGAAATTCTCCTCTTCCCCTCCAAAACCTATGAAGGCATGTAGACTCACAGTTTGTGAATTTGACTCACCCTTAACTTCTGGAGGAGAGATTCCATATTACTTCTGTACTCAGAAAGTCAACTCTTTCACTCTTGTATTTTCTCCATTAAAAGAAGAATCATAAATAGTAACCTGGGGAAAAAAAAAAAATACTGTAGCAGGGCTCTGAAAATAAGTGCCTTGGGAAAAAAACATGGGGTGTCTCAGTAAAGCAGCTGAGGAAGTTTTTAAACCTTGACCCTCGTTGCCTTCTTAGTGTAATCTGCAGCAAGTAGTAAAATCTGTAAAGGAGATACAAGTGAAATACCAGACAAAAAGGCACGGATAATGTTGATATAAACAGGTCTTGGAAACTGGCACTTAAATGTGCTTTAGACATTCTGTTTGCAATTCTATTAACAGTATTCTATATACTAGATTATTTTTCTTTTATGATGTTCTCTCAAGTGAGTGCAATGTTCTTAAAGGTTTTGTGTTTCTCATAAAATGTGCATGTCTGACATGATTATATTTGTCTATTACTTATTCTATGTGAATCATAAACCCAACAAGAAGATTGAAGTACAGACACCCATTGCAGTCATGACATAAATTGTGTATCTTTCTGGAGAACAATGGTATTAAAGACTTTTACAGCAAAGAGCTGCAGATGTTGAGCTCATGGGGCTGAGCCTAAATATACAAAGAAGTTTAGATAATATTTTCTAGAAAATGCTTTTAAGAATGTCTAAAGAACTGGCTAAATAGATCAAAAAGTAACCAGTAATCTCTGCCCCCTCTTACTTGACTGACCACTAACAGTGAGCATTCAATATAAATCTTTTACTAACCATTTACAATCTGATTTTTTCTGAAAAAAAAAACCAACCAAACAAATACTTTTAAATAATGGCCACACATGTAGAAAAAAGAGTTCATTTGCACAAACTTGTCCAGAAAAAAAGAACTGCAACTTCAAAAATTTGTCAGGCCACATTGCCCTGTCATCCTTGTTCATGTCAGTGTTCATTTCTTCCACAGATTTTCTGCTTACATTCATGGAATAACCTTCAAAGTGAACAGATAATAGAAATGGCCCTATTTTTTAGCAGAACAAAGGATTTAGTGAAGCAAAAGGAGTCATCTTTTGTCGAAGCAATAATTCTTGCTTCTGTCTTCAACTCTGAGCTTAGACTACTCTGCATCACAAATAGGCTTAATGCAATTAATGCTATCATATTCATGTAAAATCAAAATGGGTAATATAATGCAATAATTAAGCTTAGAAGGGATTCCCAAAACCTATATAGTCCAAACAGCTGCTCAAAAAAAGAGCCAGCATCCAAATTAGGCCAAGTTGATGTTACATCAGATTTAAATAGAAAACAGACCACAATGATGATACTTTAAAGTTATATCAATTACTAAACACTCTTCCAAATACGTTTTAAAACGCACAAGAGAGTTTACTTGAACGATTCTAAGTTTTTCAGCTAGCTTTTATCACCTTTGTTAAGATCGATTAACCAGTGTCCCTTCTCACAGAGGAGAGATTATATTTAATATCAGTCCCCAACTGTTAACACTTAAAAAGACCCAAAGTTTGACTGCTGAATGTGTTCAAGAGGTCTTCAGTATGGACAACAGCAAGCAGCTTAACAAAAGCATTGACTAATACAAGACAAGGCTTAAAAGCCAAGGGCAATGTCTAGGACTCTTAGCACTGAACTTTCAGGCTCCATGTACTTGAAAAATCCTAGAGACTTGCCAGAATTTCAGGAGTAAAATGAAACTAAAATCTGGGAGTAGGATGAATATCAAAACAAATGGAGAACTTTTCTGTGCAAATGCAGCATCATAATAGTAATAGCAGCCTGATTCCAGTTTCAATTGGAGCTGTATTTTGTGTATAGCTTATAGGAAAGATGGAACTCTAGAAATTAGGGAATTACAGTAAAACACATCAGATAATAAAGAAGTGGTGATGACATTAGTATAAATGATCCAGGATGATTGTTGGTGAAACAGATCACATGAAGAACTTTTGAAAACAACATTTTAAAGATGGTAATACAGACACCAGTTTATACTTGCAATGATAGTCACAGTTTATATGTATTTTATTAACTAAGATAATTGATGCTTTGTGAATAAGAGAGATTATTCTGATTTCATCAATCAAAATCTTTGCCATGAAAACTTAGCTGGAGACTGAATTCTGCTGTGCCAGATCATTCCCAATTAATTAATCAGTAATCCTACAATTAATGATTCTAATTAACAGACTAGGCCACAAAAGGATTCCTGCCTTATCAGCCATTTATGCAATTGTTTGCTGCACATCGAGGAAAAGGGCTCTGAAGGCTTGCTGCAGGTCCTCAGCACAGATGAAGAGGAGGAGGTGACACAGTTTGAGACTGTGTGCAACACAGCATTTTCCTCCCTGCAGTGCCTCCTAGGTAGAGGGAGAACTCCGGGGAGAACTACAGCACACTAGGTGGGCTTTCCTGAAGCAGCTGGAAGGCAGGAATAGTCTTCCCTAGGTGCCCTCAGGATGGGAAAGCAAAGCCTTACTGATTGCTGTTGCTTAATTGCAAATTGATGAAAAGCAGTCTGGGTTACTGGTGTTTTTAAGTGGTAGCATTTACTCTTAGAAGAGGACTTAGGGTAGGATGACAAGCTTCTCCTTCACCTGAAGTTTCAAAGGTTGTTTCACCAGGATGGATGAGACAGCAAAGATGAGTCATGTATCTTTAACTCTTTAGTGTTCAAAGTAGACAAAATATTTGCATGTTTACAATGAGCAAAATCAAGCAAACAAACAAAAACCCACAAAAACCCACAAAAAGACAAACCACAAAAAAAACCCCAAAAACCAAAAACCAAAACAAACCCCACAAACTAAAAGTACAAGAGTTTCCAGTGGCTGAAAATAAAGTATCAGCATTTGTCCCAAGTGTGGTTTAGTGATTTGCATCTGACCAGGGATCGGAAATGCTCAGTAAGGACCTCACTGCCATTAGAGCTTTGTCTCACTGCATTCCATATGAGGTTTACATGCTGTAAATCTTGGATTAAAGCAAAATGTGTAAGGACAGATCACAACAGTGTAAGATAAATATGGAATTGTCTGTATCTGGAGCAAGTAGAGGAAAAAACGAATTTCTGTTTTTCATTCTCACATCTGCCTTCCATTTCAATTCTGTTTGTGGTCACATTAAAATAAAAACCCTTTACAGGAAAAAATTCAAAAGTATTGGAAAAAGAAAGGTATTGATTTTTGTGTCCTGAGTTTTCAGTCCTGTTCGGGATCTCTTCCTTCCGTTTGCAACTACTTTGCTAGATAGATGCTGAAATTCAACTACATATTTTTAACACTGAAAGAGTAAAATTATCTTCCAGAGGTAGCAGAGAATCAATTGAAAATGTGCTTAAATAACAATGTATTTAATAATCATTTTAAGGGCTAAAGTTTCTCTAGTTTTCTGTGGGTAGTCAGCAAGAAGTGTTTCTGTTCTCCTAAACTTCCACAGCAACTTGCTTCCTTCCAAGTCTAAGTGGACTTGGTATATACAGCAAGATCTGAAAGACCAGTGTGGGTTGCAGGCCAAGAGTCACTCCACACACAAATCATTAGCACAAGAATCCACTGGGGGCTATTAAATATAAATAGAAAGCTGTTACTCATAACTCAGAAACCTTCTCAGCAACACACAGCTACAGGGTGAGAAAACTGCCCACAGAAATAACCACTATAGGCTTGCCATGTTCTTTTGGTGCTGGCATGGGATGTTGAAGTAGACAGACCTTTGATGCAGAACTGGATAATCATAAAATTTTATTACCTCAACTGTAGTAAATGACATGGACAGTGTTGAAAAGCGTTCAACTAGTGAAATACTAAAATTCACAGGAGTACCTGAATCACAGCTTATATCCGTAGCCCCTTATGACCCATGAAAGTCCCCAATAAAGACCAAAATGGAAAACCAAACCAAGATCCAATATTAAGTTTTGCTAGTATAAATAGAATGGAATTAAACAAAACTTTTATTGTTAAAGAGATAGAATAAGTGGTTCCATTTCTCACTGTCTAAATCCAGAAAGACAGTTGTTTTGCCTCTGAGGATGTTTTTAAAGAATGATGTATTCCTTCCTTCCAATCCCTGCATGTATTTCTAAAGAAGGCCATTCTGCAAAGAAGTACAAGTTATGAATATACTGCACAGCAATCTTGTGTGACAGGTGAATAGAAAGTCAATTAAAAATTCACCTTTCAGATCTGAGAAACATTATTGTGTATGTGTGTGTGTGTGTGTTTCATTAATGAAAGAGTTGAAAAGTGTTGAGGGACTTGATTTTTAAAGCAAAATATAAGTTAAAAACTTGTCATGAATTTGGAAAGGCAGCAGAATCTAATCAAATGTGCCTGATTAATTCTACAAAGGCATGACTTCTTTAATCCCTCTGAAGTTCAGTTCCTGTGAGAAAGGTCAAGTTTAGTAAGAAAAAAAGGAAGGACATTGCTGGTTGAAAGATCTAAAACCCTGCATGGAAGAAGAAGGAAACAGTGGAAACATCTGTCTGTAATGGTAAGCGATCTCTTCTTAGGTTCACATGATCTCAGTAATACACTCTGACATCCTGTGGTGTAGGGGCAGATACCTAAATTTGCCAAAAGGCAGTAAGACTTAGGAAAATTTGGATTTTTTTGGACTTTGCTGATTCATAAAAACAGAGTTATTATTTAATACAGGTAAAGTTCTGGTGCATCAGCTGCACCTTGTCATCATTTCAGTTCAGAACAAAAAGCACTGGAGCAATTATGACTTGCATAAACTTGGTTTCTCTGTGAACCACAGCCAATTACCAGTAATGTGATAGTCAGCAGCGAAAATGTACTTGTCAGAATACTCCTTTAATTACATGTTATTTGAGAAATTGATTAAATAACACCTCCATTTTGTTTTAAGTGCTAACCAGCTCGAAAATTTTTGGTTTTTTTAAATAAAGGTTTTTCCAAATCTCTCAGGAAAATTACTTAGAGGCTTCCTCTAGTAACTGGGATCTCTGCTGTCTGGGGGTAACTTGGGAGACACTCTGTTATCATGGTTAATGAAGAAAGGAATGTTTGCTTAGACCCTGGGTATGTT